GTATACTAGTATCTTAAATTTATGAAACACTGATCTATATCTCATAAAAAAAATTGGCCCACATCTTTTGAAACACTGGCCTATATCTCATGAAACACTGGCCTACATCGTTTGAAACACTGGTCTGTATCTTATGAAAAACTGGCCTACATTTTTTGAAACACTGGCCTATATCTTATGAAAAACTGGTCTACATCTTTTGAAACACTGGCCTATATAGATATCTTATGAAACACTGGCCTATATATTATAAAACACTGAACTATATCTTATAAAACACTGGCGTACATCTTATTAAACACTGTCCTATATCTTATGAAACACTGGCCTACATCTTATAAACACCGGCCTATTTCTTATGAAACACTGAACTATATCTTATAAAACACTGGCTTATATCTTACGAAACACTGGCCTATAGCTTATGAAACACTGGCCTATAGCTTATGAAACACTGGCCTATAGCTTATGAAACACTGGCCTATATCTTATGAAACACTGGCCTACATCTTATTAAACACTGGCCTATATCTTATGAAACACTGGCCTATACCTTATGAAACTCTGGCCTATATCTTAGGAAACACTGGCCTATATCTTATGAAACACTGGCCTACATCTTATTAAACACTGGACTATATCTTAGGAAATAGTGGCCTATATCTTATGAAACACTGGCCTATATCTTATGAAATACTTGCCTATATCTTATGAAACACTGTCCTATATCCTAGGAAACACTGACCTATATCTTAAGAAACATTGGCCCACATCATAGGAAACACTGACCTATATCTAAAGAATCATTGGCCTATATCTTATGAAACACTGGCCTATATCGTATGATACACAGGCCTATATCGCATGAAACTCTGGCCTATATCTTATGAAATACTGGACTATATCTTGTGGAACACTGGACTATATCTTATGGAACACTGGCCTATATCTTATGAAACACTAGACTATATCTTATGAAACACTGTCCTATATCTTATGAAACACTTGCTACATCTTATGAAACACTAGCCCATATCTTATGGAACACTTGCTACATCTTATGAAACACTGGCCTATATCTTATGAAACACTGGCCTATATCTCATGAAACACTGGCCTATATCTTATTAAACACTGGCCTATATCTTATGAAACTCTGGCCTATATCTTATGAAACACTGGCCTACATCTTATGAAACACTTGCCTATATTTTATGAAACACTGGTCTATATCTTATGAAATACTGGACTATATCTTATGAAACACTAGCCTATATCTTATGAAACACTGTCCTACATATTATGAAACACTTGCCTATATCTTATGAAACACTGGCCTATATCTTATTAAACACTTGCCTATATCTTATGAAACACTGGCCTATATCTTATGAAACACTGGCCAACGTCTTTTTAAACACTGACCTATATCTTATGAAACACTGGCCTATATCTTATGAAACACTGGCCTACATCTTATTAAACACTGGCCTATATCTTATGAAACTCTGGCCTATATCTTAGGAAACACTGGCCTATATCTTATGAAACACTGGCCTACATCTTATTAAACACTGGACTATATCTTAGGAAATAGTGGCCTATATCTTATGAAACACTGGCCTATATCTTATGAAATACTTGCCTATATCTTATGAAACACTGTCCTATATCCTAGGAAACACTGACCTATATCTTAAGAAACATTGGCCCACATCCTAGGAAACACTGACCTATATCTAAAGAATCACTGGCCTATATCTTATGAAACACTGGCCTATATCGTATGATACACAGGCCTATATCGCATGAAACTCTGGCCTATATCTTATGAAATACTGGCCCACATCTTAGGAAACACTGGCCTATATCCTAGGAAACACTGGCCTATATTCTAAAAACCACTGGCCCATGTCAAATCACGTGATTGGTGATAAGAATGTACTTGGATGTGCTATATTCAACGTTTCTTATCTGCTGCCATTTACATATGATAATGCTTTTTGTAAATGCGTTGTAGCGATTCGAAGTACACATATGCGCAATTATCAGTTTCCCAGATAAACGCTCCCTATCTGTTAAATTTTTTATTATTAAAATTGTTTAGCTTACTATTTTTCACTATCAAAGTTAACATTATAGGCGCTCATCGGCAATTTAATTTCATCTCCGAATTGCTTATTCGGCTTTCGTATGATTTCGTGTGGTAACGGCAATTGTTTGGCGAAAACGGACATTTGTGAGACAAAAAGCGCCCTAGCGTCGATCCATTTGGGTCCAGTTGGTGATCGGTATTAACAAATTGATATATATATGTTTATAAACTAGATTACATCTTTTGTAACGATAGTATACCATTATGAACCGAGTATAAAACATATTTCTATGCCTCTTGTAGACTGTCGACAATTCTCGGGCCTAATAAAGAGTCTTATTATCTTATTTTCAAACACCGTAGGCGTGTTAACGAAATGCCAAAGGCATTTCAAGCGAGGGCCGTAAGTCCAAGAGACTGTTATAGCATGTTGCGCCCTCATACGGCATTGCTTAGAAATTGCCCGGTGACGTTCCTGCTGAGATTTGTCACTCAAACTACATCATATA